GAGAAGGTTAAATTTAGATGTTATGAAGTTGATAAGAGCTACGTGAATAAATATCTTTCCACTCCCCCTTCCGGGTGATTTTTCATGTTGAACGTGCCTTTGTACACGCGGAATTTTTATTCTTTCGAAATATCGAGCGGTCGTCGGGAAAACGAAATGGCGACAGTAAATAATGTCCATTCGTTTGTAGCGTCATCGATAAATCATCGGGCGTCATGACGGGAAATTGAACTTTCGAGAATACTTATGCCCATCCCACGTTATTATTCATGTTGATAGTGCGGGAGCGTAAAAAAGGATACGGCAGCGCGTATTTCAGAACCATCGATTATAAATAACGTCGCAGTGTTTCCTTGATTCCATCCAGAACGTAGAACGCATAAAACTTCTCCGGAAAGAAGCGATGGCGCGAAAACGAGGTGACAGAAAGATTTGAAGCTCAATCTTTTGCGATATATTTTCGCAAACTCTGTCTGGAATTGTAACTGTTTTTTAATCTTATGATGAAGATTACCTTAAAAATCATTGATGATTGTAATCTCGAGGACTAACGTTAAATAATATTAAATAATAAAGAATAGCCTCTGTATTCGCTACTTTTACAGGAGCAGGAAAGTGGGAGAGAGACGCAGAGTTCGTGTTTCTTTTTTGGTTTTCATTATTTCTTCAAAACCTGTGATTCGAGTATAGCAACAGAAAAGAAAATCGAAGCGAGAGGAAGATGAAACATATGGGAATCATAAAGAAAGGGGAACTCGCAGTGTGTACGATTGTGCCCGATAAATAATGCAAATCTCGCGGAACCCTCCTAAAGCTCCCGCAAGCTGCTTTGTAACGCGATCAGGATTGGTTGCGAGCCAACCGCGTGCGGGCGTCGACGCATCGCATCTGCGCCACCGACCCGCGAAAATTTATGTGCGGGGCGCGTTGTCTAAGGCGGGCCAACAACGGACCGTCGCGTTCGCAACCAGCCAACTTATCCCCTCGAGTACTCGCCGAAACACACACATAGGTGATACCGTTGAGTTAATTACACTCTATGAAACTTCTCTACCGCGGTCTTGTTACGTCGCGGCCCACCGCTGTCATCCTAAAATGATACAGATGACCCATTCTTGGCTTTCCCGCATCTCTCGCTACTTTCGCGTGTTGCTCGTGTGCTTGTGACATTATGGCAATTTTAATTGATTTTATTATCGGTCTAGAATTGCGCAAGACTCAAAGCGAGAAAATATTATCGTAAAAATATTGTATTGAAAGTTTTCCAAAATTAAATTTATTTCTTAAATCTCAGGCTTGAGTGAATCTTTGTAACAAAAATCTCGTATTATTTTGTCTCCGATTTTATTAATAATTTGTATCCCATATTGTTTAAAATGATATTTAACGCAATCAAAGGACTGCGTATATATGCCGCACACAGAGTTTTGTGAAGCTAAATAATTATGTAAAATTTTATAATTCTAATAAGCTTAATCTTGATCTTGCCTTAATGATTAAAATATATAGGTTGAATTTTTTTTCTTTTTTTTTTTTAAGATCTAATGTGTGTCACTAACGTATCTGATTATAATTGCAAGCTCATCAAAACGCGACATAAATGTTATCGAACGATTTTTATACTTTTTATTGAAGCATATCACGGGAAACATCTGAAATATTTGTAAGATTTTTGTTGAAGAAAAAATTTAAAGTGCATAGTACGATATCAAAATTTCCTGCTATAGATGTTGTTTCGTTATACAAGCTTCATATAAAGTTATTTGCGTTAGTGTGATTTTCGCGAGCTATTTGCTAATTTCACATATGCTCCTCATACTGACGAAAAATGCAATTTCGGCAAAAGCAGAGATTGGATATACGTATGTAGGGAAGATGTATTAAGCCTATCGATGATGCCTTGGTCGATAGGTAGGTACCGTAATTACGGTAATGTTATGCGAGCTAATTGGAGGATTTTGTGAGAGCCGATAAAAACGAGATTACTCGGCACCGAAGTCGAGTTTTATATCGGATATACAAGAAATTGGCTATCGGCGTATTCTTGCCCGAAAGATCGTTATTACCTTCGTGCAAAAAAGATCAGGAAATCTCCCATCTGCAATATAATTTAATATAATTTTTTTGGCAATTCTTTTTTTTCTCCGTTGTATCGTCCCATCTGTATCACTAATTTCGTAAATTAAGAATGTATTCGCATTATCGGTCATGCGAATTTTGCTCGCAAGTCAGTCGCTTTTTATTAATGCTGCCGAATCATTAATTTCCAATTTCTGATATATTCTTTTCAATTTTTATATTTTTTAAATTTAATTATTAAATTTATTCGTCAATTTATATTTTCTGTCTTAAATATAATATACGATACAGGTGTACGTGCATGACCTGATTAAAAATTTATCTATTCAATATACAAAATAGTAATTATATTTAATACTCGATATACAAAAGAGTAATGGAAGAATAACAGAGGATATTAAAATTATAAAATATAAAGATAACAAATTTACATTTATAAATATATTACAGATTTTTTCCGCTATTATTAAAGTTAACGAATAAGAGCGTTATTTTATTGGACGATTCTTTCGAATCTTCTTGCAAATTACAAATTTATGGCTTTCGCAAAGAATGAAGAATTAACGTTTCAATTACGACTTCTCTAATAAACAAACGGATGGCACTCTCTTTTTAACCTCTGACCGAGCAAACTTCTGCTTCGACAACTAGTTAGGACCTCGTATCGTACTTGCAGTCATCGGCTCCCTTTTTCTACGGCAGCAAGTTTGAAGGGAGCTAACAAGTAGTGCAAGTTGTGATAGAGAAAAAGGGGAACAGACGGAGAAAGGCAGATGGTAGGAACGACGATAAAAGAGAAGAATATTGCATTGGGGGATCCACGGCCGTGTGGTAGTTATTTCTCTCATTGCGTTATGAAGTTACGTCAGCGACCAATCTTTACAACGTTAACGAAGACATGAAAAACTAAAAGGGAATGAAAAAAATGTAATAGTTCTAATTTTTGAAAGAGAACGCTTCCATCGTGGAGTGGCAAATTTTCTTTAACATAATCAATAATTATTTCTATCGGATATATTTTTAATAAAAAAGAATGTATAAAAAAAAGAATCGATTGTTAGCTTTTTCTTAAGTTCTCAAGAACGAAGATAAAAGAAATGATATACTGTCTTTTGAAAAAGAAGATGCTAAAAGGACGGAAGGGACGAATAAAAGAAACAAAACCACGAGGGAGAAAGGTAGAAGTGGGAAAAGAAAAGCAATCACGAGATGCATATTCGATTGGATGCATTGAAGTGCGAGGTGAGGGATCAAAGCATACATTTACAAGAGCTTTTGTTTAGATTGTCTGTTCTAGTAACAAGCGATTTTTATATCGTTAACAAGACGAGAGAAATAATAGCAGCGTGTATCGTTATAAAAAATTGTTATGGAATATATTTAAAAATTTAAAACAATAAGTATCGAATGATTAACAAATAACAAAATTGACTAAGTTTTATAATAAGAATAAACGTAAAGTACACGCAGAAGACAATCGGTCGATTAATTATTTATAATGTATTTCCATACATTCCCTCAAAGAAAAAACAATTAGCTCAATAGTGATTAAGTAATTTGTAGATGAAAAAGATTTATAGTTTTTTTATATTATATCTTGTCTATTGAATAAATATCCGTTGAACTTCCACGAAATAGAAAACGAAAAGAAAAAATAAAAATTAAAAAATTAACACAAAATAATATCAGTTATTAAGTAATATCAAATATAAAGCGATATTAACAAGAGCCAAGATACAATAATTAGAGTGCAAAAGAAACCTTTTCTTTTCTTCTTTTTTATTGATATATTCTAAATTATGTGTATTAATAAAAAAAAGAAAATTTTTTTCTTTATAATAACGCCTTTTTACTTGCTAATTTTGTCACTTAGTAATTGTGAAAAGGAAGGATCCGAGAGAATGAATGCATATACAAGGTGTCGATGGACTCCGCGAACGCATGTAGGCCGTATCGCATAGCACAATGCGTTAATATTGAACGCATGGAAGTAGTATATGCCCACATTGTTTACCGTCACCTTGGCGTGTCGCCGCGGGACATTTGCACGCTACCGAACACACATGTGTCACCCATTCGCGCAATCGTTATGTCGGCGTTGCACATGTACTCGCGACATGTCTACGCGACATGGTGTGGGCTATTCCGAAAACGCATTGTCGCACAAAACGCTTGTGCGATACCGAAACCACTGCCATCGTCGTCGTTTAAGCGGTCGCATGACAGGGTTGCTTAATTACTTGTTGTGTCATGTAAATTGTGGTAATGAAGGAAGATGAGTCGCGGCGTAAAATACTCGGCGTGACGTTAATTCACATCGTGGCTGGGATTGTGCTTTACAATATAAATGTATAATGTTGAGATGCAACACAAATTAAGTTTTAGTTACCTACAGATTAAATTTATAACATATATGTATATATTGTGTAACATATATTGTGTTTTACTTGTTATTATTTTATTGTTATTGAATTATGAAGGAGAAAAAATAAGGATCGATTATATTATATTACTAGAATTTCATATAAGGTAATCTTACTAATAATAAATCGAGAGAAACATTTAATATCAAAATATATCATTTAAAATAATATTACCTTTTCATATTATATATTACATTTTTATATAAAAATATTGTTTTAATGTAGAAAAATTTAATAATTTTTTCAACTATTATATTACTTAAGAGAATTGTAATAAAATATTTTATAAAATAAAATATGCAAAATATTAGAAAATATAATAGTAAAAAAATATTACTACAATATAAAATATTATAAAATTAATAGTAATATTATAAAAGTAATATTATAAAATATACAAAATTAATAGTTAATTTTGTAAGCCAAATCTAAAAATAATTTTACCTGTGTATATACCATACGCAGAGAAAAAATATTTTTCTTTTCGAAACTTAGTAGACCGCGCTGAAACCCTTCGTTCCATTACTCTTGTATTGAGTGCAGAAGGTAAACGATCATCGATGACAAAGATCTCGAACAGGTCAAGAATTCGTGTCGTTCTCACGCTAAAGTAAGTAGGCTATCGCTTCTCATCTTAGTTACATCAACTCCTACGTTAAGAAAGGAGAATAAGATCAACAGAACATTGCACAGAATGATTCTACAAAGTATCTTGAAATTCTACCGCTTAACACAGCATAGATATATCGTGTAGACCACGAAATCTTTGTTAACACTTTATTATATTAGACCTTGTAACTCTCTAGCAACAAAGATAGAAACTGGAGGCCAACTGGTCTGTCCATATAAATAGCACTTAAACTTGGTTATCTATTTACAGCTATAGAATGGGAACAATGTTCTAAAGTGCAGACGTCATACTAGAAACATTTAGACATTTGCTGCTCGATTATTACGTATTTGAAAGCCGAGATCTCAGACCTCTGACGTTTATTAACACACATATATATATATATATATATATATATATATATATATATATATATATATTTAGAATTATAAAATCAAATCAATATAAAATCAATATAAATTGAAGAGAGAAAAAGGGAAAGAGAGGGAAAAAGAGGATTGTTGCTTCTCATCGTTCTTTCTTTGCTGCTGACAATGAGTTTTCTTTGCTATAAGTTAATGTAGTCGTGAAAAGGAACTATATATAGCCTTCAATCTTGACTGCGAGAATAACATAAACTCTCGATTTCTTCGAGGTCTCTATTATCGTTCATATTTTGCATTTTCCACAAAAAAGAAAGACCATCTATCTATTTAAGCTAGATATAAAAAAATATTTTTTCTTTTTTCTCTCTTTTAGCAGTTATACTTGCAAATAACATTTTTTCTCGAATGTATCACAAATTTAAATAAAAAAGCGACTAAAAATTATTAAATATATATATTTTTTTATATATTGGGAAACTAAATTATACAATATTTTATACATTGTCAGAAAGCAACAGAGATATTACTGGTTTGGAATTTTTAACATTTACTAGATCGGTTTTATTACAGTAACAAGAGAAAATGAATATTTTTCCTGCCGCTGAATTTTTTCCAGTCATTTGTGACAAGACAAATCGAGTTTCGAGCTTACTCTGATTTATCGAAATCGATTTTTACGTTGGCCGGAACATCAAATTGGTACCGTCAATGTTTAATTCGTGACACCTGTAGCAATGTCAATACCAACAAAAATTAATTGAGATATATGCTCGTTATAACGACCGCTTTTATCACGATCCGCGATAATTGATTTCTGCAAACTGTGCACCAAAAAGAGGATGAATAAACTTATAATTATTTTTACGCGTTACTCGCCAGGTTGTATTGAACAAAATTATCACACGACGAATTATACATGATTTTTTTGCATATATCACAATATTATATATTTACAAGAGTGACTAAAGACAAATTCTTGTAATCATGTAGATTTAAGAAATTTTTCCCATTAAAATAAAAATACCGATGAGACAGAAATATATTTTTTTAACTTACATATTATAAAATACAAAATGATATTTAGTTCTTTAACGAGAAAAAAATACAAATTATGACTTGGCTATGTAAATATTAAAAGCTTCAATTATCTATTTGCTCTGAAACGCAAACGACATGTTATAAACATGTTTTAGCTCAAGCATTTTCATCACGCAGTCGCAATTTCGTTATGACGTTTTAAATCCTTAGAAATTGGAGATATGAAATATTATTTAATTATGCATGTACATGCGCGCGCGTGTTTATGATCCCTTTGAAATGTAAAGTTTATGACATTACGCCAATAAACTTCAAACTAAAATGTGAGACGCTGTTATCTGAAAGCAAGGAGATGAGAGAACTCATACCAACTTTAACAATGGCGAATGCGAAGTATCTTGTAACTCCAACTTTGTAATACTTTGGCCTTTCTAGCCGCTGACATAATGGCAGTAAGGATATATTTGCGCGGTAAACGTCCGCCGTTAAGTCTGTCATCTAAGTTCGTCCAAATGAAAGCAAACATTTTATTCAACAGCGATTATCACGAATATGAAGTGAAAATGACACAAGATCCGAAAAAAATGTAAACGCAAATATGGATAAACAGTCTTGCGTTTCTACGATATTTCCAATAATCACAATTTTATTATCATATAATTTTTATATTATGATTTTTTTGATTTTTTTTTATTATATGAATCGATGTATCATTTTAAAAAGGCACATTCAAATTTGCGTATCGTTCTATTTGTTTTACATTATTATATATGCATGTGTATGAGGTATACGAACGCATAAATGTAGGTGTAAAAAGGATCTCGTTGATCGTATATATTTTATTCGCGAAGCTTTAATTAAACATCGAAACGTGCTATGCATAACTGAGCTTGTGGTTTTATCTTTGTCAATGCTGTTATCCAAAACTTGAATTTTTAACCGTTGAATTTGCTGCGTCTCTCTCGGCAAGAAAATTCCAGCGTTAAAAGAATCGGAGGAAAGTTCCTTGGATTGCGAGTAGAGAGACGTAACGACTCTGGATATCAAGTTTGCAGGGACCATATCCATTAGCGGAAGAATGCCGTTTCAACAACGAGACGTTCGTGCCCATGGCAAATCCCCTCTCGCCCTCTCCCTCCTTTCCCCCCTCTCTCTCTCTCTCTTCCTGTTTCCTTTCTTTCTGCAAGCAATTCGAGTGCATCTAGGTGTTAAGTCGATATCTTCATCGCGGCAACACGCAAATGAGAGGTGCTGCAAAAGACGCCCGCCAAGTAGAATGCGAGATCCGTGCGATCGTACGGATAATACGAGGGAGAGTACAATGCCAGTGTCATCCGCATTCCTCGTTTGTCAAGCGTACGTAAAGGCGAGATTAAGAGAACCCCTCTCTCGCTTTCTCTCTCGCTTTCTCTCTCTCTCTCTCTTTCCCTTTTCTGTTTCCTTACTTTCCTCATCTTGGCCCTTCCACATTTTCCTCTCTCTCCCTCTCCCTCTCCCTCTGTCTTCCTTTTTCATTTCTCTTTCTCTCGTCCTCTTTCACATTGTAGATACAACCGTGACGGTTACAAACGATACCGACGTTCCAAGGGGTTACAATGGATTTAAGTCACGTTCGTTCCACTTAATCCGCGGACATTCTTCCCCGGGTTCCACCTACGAGCTTTCCCTGTTCGCAGACACGGGCTCGAATTTCTGGATTCGTATCCGACGACGTGAACGTAATTAAGATGTAACGCGTTCCTTGAATTCGAGCACGTTCGTAGCCGACGACGTTGTAGAATAATTGTCGCGGTATAACTAGCGCAACCAGAAAATACGCTTACGATCAACACTCGCAATGTTGAAGAGCTTGTAAATATCGACAAATTTAAAATTGAAAGCAAGACATGCAGAGTAATCGCTGAAAAGAATATACATATATCACGTGTATGATGCGTGTGCGAATGCTTTAAAATATATTTATAAATCACTCTAAGAACTCTCATGATGTTTGCTTTAAAATCTGTGTGAAAACACCAAGAGATGCATAACATTAACATCCTTAAAATCGTTAATTTCTCGAGTCACCTAATCTTGAATCGTAAATCTAGAAATTGCTTAAAACGATATACTCGCATTAGGACAAAAATATCGCTGAAACTTTAATTTCTCGTGGATTTTTTCGAGAGGCCACGAAATTCCGGGCAGTGACTCGGGATCCACCATTCAGCCAGGTAACCTGGATACCTGCGACATGGCAGGACGGAAACTCGTTTCGCCATAACAATTTCGCGGAGCGGATAACGCGAGAGCGCCCGCTGGAATTACGTACAAATGGCGAGCGTTATCCGCTCGCGGGGGCGCCAGTAAATCGTTTTATCCAGGCCGTACTGGCACACGGACACATCGGCGTTTATTTAACTGTAAGTTCAGCCGCCGTGGCCATTTTTCTGAAACTATTCCGACCGGGGCCATTACCGGCTCGGGACGACCGAGACGTTAAAACCGTTTCCAGCGCGGCGGCCTGCTCGCGCATCTGCGATACGGCGCACAACTTTTGTCCTTTATGGGAGGGTCCCTTAAATATAGGACGACCTCGCCCAAGTGCTCGCCACCTTGCGTTTCGACCCATTCAAGATTAGAGGTCCGCGACCTTTAACCGGCGAATGCACCGTGTACTCCGTTCTCGGGAGATAAAGTCGGTGAAGCTGGCGCGAGAAAATTATTCGAAGAGCATCCGGGGAAAGTTGGCACGATGTAAATTTTCCTTTCCCAGAACTCCTTCTATGTATGAAAAATATTTCGCGTTTCCGTGAAATTACTTGCGTATTTATTGCTTAAAAAATCAAGTTATGTACTTGTCTTAAAATTGTAAAAAAGCTATCGCTGTTTCATGATTTTAATAGAATAGGAAAGAAAAAGATTATTTTGTCCTCTTATAACATATATCTGATAAAAACATTTTTCATTTTTATGTCATCGTATTTGTAATTTTATTAGCACATATATGTTTCTGATTCAATTTACATAAAGTAAACTAAAAATAATTTAATCAGGCCACGTACAAAAATTATTCCCGATAATAAAATGACTATGACGACTTGAAGTCGACATAAAGAGATGATGGCCAGATTTATTATTTACTAACTTATTTTTTCGGTAAATTTGTCGACAGATCGAAACTTTTACCCGATAAATTGCACTGTAAACAAAAATTAATGGTATTACTTAAATATAAAATAATAAAGTGTGCAAAACTGATTTTGACGTATATTTATCGATCAAGCTTTGAATTCAGTTATTTTTTATTTTTTAAGTTATGTTAAGTTTTTTAAGTATGATAAATTAAGAATTGAGGTTCTTATACCAAATATTTCCAAATATGTATTTGAAATTATTGCATTTAAGCATCAATTCTTAATTATGATTCGAAGTATCTTTGTGTGCGTCATTTAAAGTCATAATACGGATCCAAGAATATTGTTCAAAGAATTGATGCTTCGATCCGGCTGTAAAAGAACCGACGTACGAGACGTCCGTCGCTATATTCACAAAGATAGTTTCTGGTCGAAGGCCATTGTATTAGTCGCAGTCACCTTTATTGAGAATGCGAAAGAGACTCGCTGTCTCAGAACCATTTTACGACTTGCCGTAAACTCTTATACAAGTTGTCGTGAACGAAGTTCGCTAGCTGCGTCCCG